CATGGGGCGTCAAAAAGTCATGTCATTGGGTCTAGAGGATTGCGTGCACGACGCCACAGTAAGTATGGTTTCAAGGCGACATCTGCAAGCAGCTGATGTTAAGCCACCCAGGTTTTCGGCCACCGGTGCATAAGAAGCGTTTCGGCGCCAAATCGCGTCAGCAATTTCGTTGCGAGGTAATTAAAACGTGTATATTAGGTTGTTCGACGCCTAATTCACTCGCCTAAAGCGTTCGGCAACATCTGCACAAGCTGAAACATGTTCTACTGAGAATGGCGCGTACTACGAGGTAAATGACGCATGACTTAGTATAAATGTGTGTTTACGGATAGTTCGTGTGTTGGTGTGGTCCGCCTTCCAGGGTTTATTCTCCGTAAACCCCTCCCGCTTGGCTGGATACTGCAAAAATGGCAGCTGGTCAAGGTCAGTGTCGTTTGTGTAGTTAGTTCTTCTCTGAATTGTCTGATTGAGCCCTTGAAGGTGTAGGCACCCTAGCATGCTTGCCAGCACCAGGTTCCATCCCTCACCCACTTTCCTTTTTTCGCTCCAAGGACTTAAGTGTAATTTGATAAAATTTATGGTTGTACGGTAATGGAGCATCAGTGTCAACACTGACACTGCTGCTTATGATGATGATGCCCACCGTTTGTGAGTTTACGGAAGTCAGTAGCGAGGGAGAACATTGAGAGCAATATCCGAGAACCGATAGGCGCGTTTTTCTCCTCTGTCAGCTTACTTCACGAGTGTTATTCAGTCTTTATTGTTGTGCAGGACAATAGATGTGTCTTTGCCCTATCACGTTGATGGTCCAGTTACTCAAGTGGGAAAACCTCAAGGAAGAAGACCAAGGGTACCAGATGAAGATAGGCTACTTGCAGATGAAGTAATGGAAAGAAGAGCGCTGCAGCTCAGTTGGATACAACAGGGAGAAGGTAAAGTCTCAGTGGAATATTACAAAAGGTAGAATCCTTCGTTGGAACCTGACCGTCCTAACAATAGACTGAGCTTTTCACGTCCTACAGGTGCAACATTTCACAGTATGGCAGATCTGTGTGTGTGTGAATGGAACTAGGGTTGGAGTTAGGTCGCATTTCAATTGTTAACACTGGTTGCAGAGTAGTTGCTATGCCTTCGTCTCACATCTCAAAGGACCCTAGTCAGACCCTGAAGGATCTCCGGTATTTCTGATCCCCCAAAACCATTACCTGTTCAAAGTACTCAATGCTAGGAAACCGGACACTTCCGGAATCGCCCTATGCCTGACCAAAACAGACGGGAGCTACACCCCGTCCGTTTGGGATGGCGTTTCTGAGGAAACCGACCAGTGTAATCTCCATTCCTGAGAAGCCCACCCAATTACCATGGCGCAGTGTTACTCATGTTGTGACAGCTGTCGCACATGGACCAATGGGGTTTGGCAGTTGGCCCACCACGGTGTGGTCTATTTCCGATTGGTTACCAAGTTTCTTGCGAAAGACCACATAAGCCCGATAATAAAACACGGACAATCGTTCAGCCATGATATGGTTTTCGTGCAAAGCCGTTGTGCCACTGAAAGCAAGCGTGGGAGCGGGGATTCTTTCGGGTTCTTCAAATAAGAATAACCAAATCAGGGTTGCGTTCGAACCTTCTGATCGGTAGCCAGCGTAGATCTGCCTCAGACGGTTTTCGCATGGGTAGTGGTCTGGCTACTCAATAAGTTAGTTTACCAGGAGCGTGGCAAAGAAACAAAAATAATTACAATAGGTTGGGTATACAAAAATAAAGAGGTCAGATGGAGCAGACTCACTAACAATTGCTCTCTTTAACATACTTCGTCGTTGGCCCAGGTCAGCGAATAAACGATAATCCAATTATGTTGGTCCAGAGGTCTTCTTCCGAACAGTTCCCACATATAATAGATTCCGAAAATGTCTGAAAAATTTTGATACCAGAGTTAGTACATGAGGCTCGCGAATGACCACTGCAAGCGCGAGCGAAATCAGAAGAGAGAGTTGAAGCATGTGGCCACGCTTGTATTATGTGAAATTGTGCAAGTGCGCGTTTTTTGTAGTTTTTTGTATTTGAACAAAAAACGCTTATGCAATTGATGAAATACGTAGTGTTATAATGGCAGTAAAATAAAGGTATAAAACGCCACACTATCCCCCCACTAGAGTGTTGACCATGAAAGGGGAAAACGCTCGAATAACTAAAGTAACGAATAACAAGTTGCTGTAGTTTTGTAACTGGCTAAGTGCTGAGGGAAACGGACGCGTCGTCCTGAACGACTATTGAAAGGAGTGAAGTTGGTGGGATGGATATCTTGGGTAGGTGTGGGTGTTGTTGGAATAGCAGGATTGCTGGATGTGGTCGTGGGTGCTTCAATATAGGCAGTATTCAGGCGATCAATGGAGACGGTATCACGCTTTCCGCTTCTCTCTAAAACAAAGTATTTGGAGTGACGTTCGGTAACCTTGAAGGGGCCATCATAACAGGATTGGAGGGGTTTCCTCGTTGCGTCATGTCGGACAAACACAAAAGATGTAGAAGAGAGATCGGCTGAGATGTGTTCTGTTCGCGTTGATCGTCTGGTCGGTGTCGCACGGAATTCGGACATATGCTGTTTCAGACGGGTGACGAATGTCACGGGTTATTCGGGCTGTGCGCTAGAAGGGGAAACCAGTTCACCGGGTAAACGGGAAGTTGTACCGTACACTAGGCTGGGAAACAGTGAAGATCCTCCCTAATAGTGGAGCGAATAGCGAGCAAAATGAGTGATAAAGAAGAGGGTCATGAGGATGGGTTCATTTGGGCAGTCAATGCAGCTCTGAGGTATCGATGGAAACGCTCAACCAGGCCGTTGGAGCAGGGATGATACGCGGTAGTCGATATGTGATGGAAACCGAATAGTGTAGAAAACTCACGGAAGATATTACACTGAAATTGTGAACAGCGATCCGTAGTAACGGCGAAAAGTATGCCGAAATTGCTCACCCAGTGCGGCAAAAATGAAAAAGCAACCGTTTCAGTTGAAGTATCCGAAATGGGTACAGCTACTGGCCAACGGGTAAAACGATCGATCATAGTGAGAATATGCGTGAAACGTTTTGATGGGGAAAGCGAGCCAACAATGTCGAGATGGACGTGTGTGAATCGAGCATCAGGAACGGCAAATGAATCGATAGGTGATTTTGTATGCCGATTTACTTTACTGGGTTGACAAGCGATGCACTGTTTGGCGCAGTATGTCAGGTCCTTATTCATGAAGAGCCCAACAAAGGGTGAACTAATCTACTTCCTGGTTTCTCTGATTGCTGGATGAGAATATCCATGGAAGTGGTCGAAAACAACCCGTCGAAAGGCTTCGGGGACGATTAAGCGAGCTGGGCCTGTAGACATATCATAAAAAATGGTTCCGGATTAGAGGGGTAAGGGAATTGAAGAGACTTGAAATGAAGGGAACGATAGAATGGGTAAAAATAGGATCACTGTTTTGAAGGTTCGCCAGCTTGGCTAAGTCCAACTGTGTGGAAGGGTGAAGAGTGTTGATGTCAGGACGGGTTAGGGCATCTGCGACGACATTGTCCGAACCTGGAGTGTACCGAATGTCGGTATTCAACTGTGAAATGTAGTCCAGATGGCGTATCTCGCGTGGTGAATATCGATCGGGCTTGGCGTTGAACGCATGGTCGGTTTGAATGGTAAACGATCTACCCTCTAACAGGTACCGGAAATGGCGAATAGCAAGGTAAATTGCGAGTAATTCACGATCAAAAGTACTGTAGCGCGTTCGGACAGCCTGCATCTTCTGCGAGAAAAACGCGAGTGGTTGAGAGGTGTTGGTAACAACTTGATGAAGCATGACACCGACGGCAGCGTTCGAAGCATCAGTCGTCAAAATCAGCTTTGTGCTTTCGTGAGTATCGAGGAAAGGTAACTTTGTGGCCTGAGCAATGGCTTGTTGGCTCTTTCGAATGCAGCAATGGCGGCGGGGTCAAAGTAACAGATTTTTCTTTGGAGCCAAATAGATCGGTCAGTGGCTTCAAAGTATCTGCGCAGTGAGGGATGAATCGCCGGTAGTAGCTGATGATACCTATGAAACGACGAAGTTGGGTGAGAGTGGTGGGTATGGGAAAAGACTCTAGGGCCAAAATGCGATCGGGTAATGGTGAAATACCTGTGGCGTCAATGTGGTGGCCAAGAATATCCTGGCTAATAACACCGAATATGCATTTATCAATAGTTAAACGTACATTGTAAGTGGAAAAACGTTCAAACACTGCTCCGAGATGAGCTGCATGTTCAGTTTGGGAGGTGCTAGCGACTAAAACATCGTCAAGGTAGGCATACAGAAACGGTAAGCCGCGTAAAACCTCGTCCATGAAACGTTGAAACTTTTGGGCTGCATTTCGAAGACCAAAGGGCATACGCGTGAATTCGAAAAGGCCAAACGTTGTTGTGATGGCTGTTTTAGGAATTTCATCCGGGGCTACGGGTATGTGGTAGTATGCTCGTACGAGATAGAGCTTGGAGATGTTTGTGTGGCATAGGGCACGTGCGAAATCGTGGATATGTGGGATGGGGTGCCTGTCTGGGATAGTAGCGTTGTTGAGAGAACGGTAATCTCCACAGGGTCTCCAATCACCTTTGGATTTCTTAGGAACCATATGTAGGGGTGATGACCAATGACTCGGTGAAGGGCGGATGATGCCGAGTTCGAGCATGTGTTCGAACTCGTGTTTTGCGATTTGTAGCTTATCCGGATGAAGTCGGCGGGGGTTGGCATGGACAGGTGGACCTCTCGTCTGAATGTGGTGAACGACGGAATGAGTGACCGGTTGGGTGTACTGACATGGGTGAGTAAGGGTTGGAAAATCCCTAAGTATGTCAGCAAAATGTGAATCCGGTAAGATAACGCGGATACCTGTGGATGAAGTTGGGGCACTAATTCCGTTGACTGAGAGAGATGTAAGCGTGTCTATAAGACGTTTGTGTCGCACGTCGACAGATAGACTGTAATGGGTCAGGAAATCTGCACCGATGATGGGTTTTTGGACGTCGGCCAAAAGAAAGATCCACTTGAACGCACGTCGCAATCCAAGGTCAAGTGTGAGGGAACGTTCGCCGTATGTAGCGATGCGGGTACCGTTGGCGGCTTGTAAGGAGGAAGAAGGAGAATCGCGAAGTGGATTCTTATGTGGTAGCACACTAACTTCAGCTCCCGTATCTACGAGGAAACGTAGACCACTTGAACGATCGGTGATGTGGAACAGGCGACTAGTGCGAGGAGGGCCACAGACAGTCGTCATTGTTACTGACTGGCCGGGGTGTTTAGAGGGGTGTTGAAACGTGGCTTGAAGGAACAAGGTGGTTGAAACTTGCGTGCTTTTGGGCCATAAGATTGGTGATACCAGCACCAAGAGGGACGGACACGAGATAACGATCTGGATCATGATCGTGGTCGATGCCTGTTGATCTCTAACCGTTGTAGGCGATCGGTCAAAGCATCAGACGTGGCGTGTAGGTGCGATATAGAAGCAAGAAGCGGGCCGGAATCTGTAGCAGTGGGCGCAGGGCGGGAGACGGAGTTTACGGGGTTACTGGGGTATGTTTCGTGTATCTTATCCGCCATGTGTGCTAGCTGCTCCAAGCTGTGGTCATCAACGAAAGCGCTGATGACGTGGGACATGGAGGGTGGGGGTTTGTCGAGCCATAATTGGGTCATGATTTCCACCGCTAGAGGAGACTGCGCATGTGGCCAAGCATTTGTGATGGCGATCTGTCCCCAAGTTCGACAGTGGTGAATAATAATAATTACATTCTCGACTAAATCCGCTGAATCAAAGCGTGCTTCCATAGTTACCGGGCAAAAGGAACAGAATTGCGACGAATTGAAAGAAAAAGCTCTCAAAAAATATCTAGAAATACTCGGGCTCACCAAATCTGTAGTGGTCTGGCTACCCAATAAGTTAGTTTACCAGGTGTGTGGCAAAGAATTAAAAATAATTACGCTAGGTTGGGTATACAAAAATAAAGAGACCAGACGGAACAGACCCACTAACAATTGTTCTCTTTAAAATAGTTCGTCGTTGGCCCAGGTCAGCGAATAAACAATAATCCAATTATGCTGGTCCAGCGGTCTTCTTCTGAACAGTTCCCACATATAATAGATTCCGAAGATGTCTGAAATGTTCTGGTACCAGAGCTAGTACATGAGACTCGCGAATGACCGCTGCAAGCGCGAGCGAAATCAGAAGAGAGAGTTGAAGCACGTGGCCACGCTTGTATTATGTGAAATTGTGCAAGTGCGCGTTTTTTGTAGTTTTTCGTTTTTAAACAAAAGTCGATTATGCAATTGACGAAATACGTAGTGTAATAATGGAAGTAAAATAAAGGTACAAAACGCCGCACATGTTACGGGGAGAAACGGACCGATGGTCAACGGTCGCTACTACCTGTTGGACGTACGAAGAGCACGATGACCATCGAAGACCATTAAATATTACTGCCCTGCATGCTGTACTTGGGTATGCGAAGTCCCAGCGAGTGACCTTGAACGGAATGGGCGGGCGAGACCGACTCAAGATCCAGTGAATCTCTTGGTGGTTCCGCCCTTCAGGCCCTTCCCACCCCATTGCATTCCTCACTTGCTTGTGCCAAGGCCAAAGGCGCGCCGTTGAATGAAAGGTGTCTGGCGTCCAGGATATCGTTTGCACACGAATTCCCTTGTCACCACAGCTACACGTCAGCTATGCTTCCGGACGTGCTTCTCGGTATTCTAGATGTTCTTCGAGTTCATCCGTATTTATCCAGGAAGAAGTCACTATGAAGTAAGTAGTTACTACTTACTTTGTCGTAATTTGTCGTCCGCCACTATAGTGGCGGACGACAAAGTACCCTTCTGGTCTTATCGCCTCGTTTGCACGGGGAAGCCTTGCTGTACTAGAAGTTTGCTATCAGCCCGCTCGTTTCAATTTTAGATGGTGCGTCTCGCTTTCGTTCATCAACTACTTCGTTGACAGGATATTAAAGTCCCATGAGCTGTTCTGGTGTCTGAAAAATTTGTATGCAGCATAGGTGTTTCTTCGCCTATGGAACAACGTAGGTTGTTTCGAAAACTTGGGCTGCTGGGAGGACTATTTAAACAATGATGTTGATCATTTAGTGCAGATTTTTGTGATATCCCGTACGTATGCTGAGTTATAGAAAGGTCGAAGCGTGATAAGCTGATTTGTCAAATTTTTGAGTCGAAGGCTTAAGCTGGGCTTTCTAAAACCGACTCTTTTCGGGCCTGGCAGGTTAGAGGACCATATATTTGAAGGGTTACTCACTCTACTACTGCCTTAACCTTTGCTCACTATGCAAACTGATTTGGGTGGATAACTTGTTTGCCAGCGGCATAATCCTCAGACTCCCGACCCGTTAATTTCAGCATAATCCATCCTTGAAGACAAAAGAGGAGCCTTCAACTTGACCAGCGGGCAGTTCATTTTCAAACCTTTGTATCCTCCAGTGTTGACGTCTGTTTTCTGTTCGTATGGTCCTACCTTAGTCTTTGATGTTAACTCAAACTAGGAATTATCGTGGCCCACCCTTGTGTCCGTAAACCAATGGCCGCGGTCGCATTTGGCTATAGGGTTGAATGCCCTCTGCTAGATTATATTTCGTTAAAGAGTCTTCTTCGTTCAGTTAACTAGCTCAATCGGGGTCAACGCTAGCAAATGCTTGAATAGTCGGTGTATGACTGCTGGATTCTCCCAAGAGTCACTAATCCGTTGAGAACACCGAATTAGTAATGACTGGGTACATTGAACAGTTCTCGGAGTGAAGAATTCAGGTGATAGCTGATCTGTTGTCACTCCGCAAAAGACACTGACTTCATGACGTGTTTCGAGTGCCAGAGAAGTATCTATTCCACAGAGCTTTTTCATCTAACCAATCATGGTGTGCCAACGGTGTAGGGGAGGTCAGAGTAGAACCAGGTAGCGAAGCGCATCACTCCTTACGAGGACATTCTGCCTCGTGCTTGTATTGCAGGTAAGCTCCATGACCCACTGAGCTACACTGGGGAGTGTATGCGTGGCACTCACGTCCTCATACCGGTTTGGTCTATTGGTGGAGATATCATTAACGGTCTCTTGGTGTCTCAGATTGGGGGTTGAAATATGTGCGCTGACTTGCTCTTTAAAAGCATAGGCTGTAATGGTGTTGGGGCTATCAATATCCCCAAAAAGACTTTTTATGTGTGTTAGCGAACTTCCGATGTCATCTCCAACAACATCTAGTACGCTGTAAGTGTTATCCAACATTGCCAATCAGCATGGGTTACCGGAGTCCATAGTCTCAGATAATGGTTCGCAGTTCACCGTCTCTGTGTTCCGCGACTTTTGCACTCGACATGCGGTGACACACGTTCGTTCACCGCCGTACCACCCACAATCGAACGGCCAAGCAGAAAGGTTCGTCGACATTCAAGAGGGCCTTGCTTAAGGCTCGAGGGGAGGAGACATCCGTCGAAGCCCTTCAGGGATTCCTGTTTGTGTACCGAACGACCCCGAATGACGCTTTGGCAAACCACCAGTCACCTGCAGAGGCACTCATGGGCCGTAAACTTAGAACTGTGCATTCTTCCATGTTGCCAACACAACCTACTGAGTCAAGGTCCATACCGGTGGCAGTTGGAACTCCATTCAAGGTGGGAACGCCCGTGCTTGTCCGTGACTATCGCCCAGGACATGATTCATGGATTGCAGGTCGTATCCTGCGCAAACGCGGTAGTGTAATGTACGACGTGTCGGTTGGTCAAGACACCTGGACCAGACATCAAAACCAACTCCGCTTTAACAGCACGCCCTCAAGTATTTTCGGGTACCCCACCGTTGGACATATTGCCCGGTACTTTTGAGCTGAAAACTGAGACAGCTTCGAAAGAAGAGAGTGTGACCGGCAGCTCAGTATTTGGTCCAGCACTTCTTCCCAGGCGGTGGACAGACCGACGCCGCCACCAGCCGGAACACATCCAGGTCGACCTCCGTTGAGTATGTTACTGATTTTTCACGAGGGGAGGTGTTGGGGATATCAATATCTCCAAAAACTCTGTATTTTCATGGGTGCTAGCGAACTTCCGGCATCTTCAAGGTGAAACTATATATATATATATGTGGGAGCCTGGATCAAGCAACATAGCTGGGGATAAAATATTGCCACAATCCGCATATCATATCGTTTGCTCGTTGCGTGATCGAACCGTAACACAGGGCGGCCTTACGCCAAACACCGCCGTATTACAGTTGAGTTTTTGAACCAAATATTTCGGCTTAACCCCTGACACTTCCTATTTAGGTCTGGGTGACCTGGCAGTATCTCAGCCAACGTACATCCATGATTTGCACACTTACAAGTGGTCTCATGCCACATAGGCTGTCGCGTAGTGCCATCAGCTGGATCGCCTCGCTTGCTACATTCATCGGAACTGATGAGTGAAAGACAACCATCGACGCGTCCCTTCTTTCTTTTTCGAATATTCGCTCTTCTCCACGCTTGACCTTTTTATGGTGATGTGTCCGCAGGCCCATTCTTTGGAACTGACATCCGTTCGCCAACTATAATCATTGAATCTGCTGCCACGGCCCCAGACACTTCAGTCCTCGACTATCATATCACCTGGCAGCCTGAAACAAGCTGCACCACCGACTGCCCTTTTGCATACGGTGAACTACCTTTCTATTGGTGTCTGCTGTCTCTGAAACAAGGATTCAATATCCAAGTACCCCTGGATAATGAATTTGGAACCCTCAACGGCTTCGGAAACAAGCAAATGCATTTCGTCCCTCAAGCAACACCCAGCTGCTAGCCCTGACCTAATTCCACCCGTTCTGTTCAAAGGCGGGTGAAATCCCCAGTCGGTGCTTGTGTAACTTATTTGTCTCTTTCTGGGCGAAAGAGGCCGTCCCAGCTATGTGGTGTGAGTCGATAGTAGCACCTATGTTCAGCTTGAACGCAAGATTCAATGACATTGATCGTCTTTCTCATCTTTCTACTGACCACTAGTTGTTCCTAAGTAGTGCTGAGTTCAGCATTATAGACACCTGTATACTAACATATACAGGGCAACGTTGCACTATCTTAGCCCTCCTGATTCCTTCAGGTGGCATAGCA